CTCAGCTGCCCGGGCTCGGTGGCAGAGGCGGTCGCGAGCGGAGTCGGGAACTCGCTCGTAGCCGCACCCTGAGGCTCGTGGTGTTTGCAATCCTCCCGGCAGTGCCGGGGGACAATATGGTCACTTTCTTGCGTTGTCAGCACTGTACCAATACATAGGTCCACGTGGGTATCCCCCGGTTGTATTGTTTATCGTGTAGGTGGATTTGTACGTATCCATAGCAGAGCGTCTACTCTCAGTGTCTATCGGCTGAGGTTATGCGGGGATATTGAGCAAATTCCGATGGGATGAGGGCAACACAGATTGGCTATCCCTATTGCACACTCGAATATTGAGGCCCGGACGCAGAGGTCGACTACTAGGAACACGGAACCACCTTGAGTGCATGCTCGAAGTCTGCAACGATATCGGCGATGCTCTCAATTCCGACAGACACCTGGTAACGACCCCCAACGGTCAGCCGCAGATCAACAAGAGTCAACGGACACGCACGCGAATGAGGTCCGGCGTGACGCCCAACGCAATCTGCTCCTCCGCAGTCAACTGCTGGTGCGTAGTCGACGCCGGGTGGATGACCAGCGTCCTCGCGTCGCCTGCACACATCCCATCCCATCCCATCAGACACCTTCTGCACGCTGACCCACACCGCCGCCCCCACTGAGAGTTACTAGGAGAGAGAGCGCACGCACCGACGTTCGCGACGTTGCTCGCGAGCTTGAGCGCGTCGACGACCGCGCTGCCCGCATGCGCGTCGCCCCTGACGCCGAAGTTGAGCATGCCCCCGAACGCGCCCGGGCGGAGGAGGCGCAGCGCGTCCTCGTGCGACGGGTGCGTCGCCAGGCCGAGGTACGACACCCACGCCACCTTCTCGTGCTTCTCGAGCCACCTGTGCCATCAATATCGATGATGTCCGCGCGGAGTGAGTCCGTGCCCTTAGACTTTGGCCCTTGGAGAACGGATAGAATGGGGAGACTGACTGTGCAAGGGCGAGCGCGTTGTCCGAGTGCCGCTGCGCACGGAGGCTGAGCGTCTCGATGCCCACGAGGAGCATGAACGCCGGGAAGGGGTCCATCGTGGGCCCGAGGTCGCGCAGGACGTCGAGGCGGCACTTGGCCGCGAACGCGCCGCTGCCGAACGTCTCCGTGTACCGCATCCCGTGGTAGCCCTCCGAGGGCTCCGTGAAGGAAGGAAACTTGCCCGACTTTGCCCAGTCGAATTTGCCTACGAGGATGGATAAGACGTTCCTGCACGGTAATGCAAACTCATAGCGAGAACTACGTACCACCGTCGATCACCACGCCGCCGAGGACGGTGCCGTGCCCACCGATCCACTTGGTAGCGCTATGCGTGACGATGTCTGCTCCTAGGTCGATGGGCCGGCAAAGATACCCTACACTCCCGTTTCACCAACGTCCTAGCAGTCCCAAGTCGAGAGAAGCCCACCTCCCATGCCGAAAGTGTTGTCTACGATGAGCGGAATCCCATTGTCGTGTGCGACCTAGTGGCAACCGATAAATACGGACACATGCATGGAAGTTGGCAGTCGATACCTGCCTTGGCGAGTTCAGGGAGGGGAGCGACCGTGTACTTGGGGTTAGCGATCGTCTCGACGTAGATGCCCTTCGTCTTCTCATCAATAGCGGCGGCAAAATCCGCCGGGTCCTCACTCTGCACGAACTTGACCGCGATGTTGAACTTCTTGAGGAAAACTGCCAGTGATTGTCAACAACATGCGCTTAGAGATACATCAAGCCACAGGCCAACCCTTGAACTGATTGTATGTCTACAACATGTCCCTATAATCAGCAAATCGGGCGGGCACATATGCGCAGACGTCTCACTCCGCCATAGAGATACGTCCTGATGAATGGCACCGACGTGAGCCTCGCGAAACGCGACAGGGAGAAGCCAGAACTCACGAGCTCACTATGTTGTCGCCGGCTCCAGCAATAGCGGATATAGCCATGAACTGTGCCGAGTGGCCGCTGGACGTCGCAACGGCCCCGACCCCTCCCTCGAGGGCCGCCATGCGCCTTTCGAATATGTTCTGTCACGGATCCCAACAATTGTTGGTGCGTGTGGTGTAGGCGGAAAGTACGCACCACCGTCGGGTTCCCCAAGCGGGTGTACATATTCCCTGGCGCTCTTCGGCGGATGTCCGGTAAGTCAGGAGCACGCTATGGACAGGTGTGCGGAATTCGACCCAACCTTAGGCCGAACATATCGGCGCCATGCTGCAACAAGGTCAATGAGCACTATGGAGTGACAACACTGAGACGCGGACCTTGGAGTTCTCAAAGACATAGCTTGTGCTGGCATAGATCGGGGGTGCGCGCGCGTTGGTGGCGATATCGGGCTCGTACCCGACGTGCAGCTGGATAGTGTCGAAATCCGGCTCTCTGAAAGAGGGTAGGTGAGCGCAGTGATGCACAGAGCAAGAGGGTGTATGGACAAGGAGCTGACCTGTAGAAATCATTCACGAGCGATGGAGGTATCATCTTGGGAGGAGCTCCTTGCTGTGCGGGTGGCGGTATGGGGCGGAGACTGGGGGTTTGGGACGACCTACCGTCCCAAATCCGCTACTACTTAAGTCGTTTCGGCGTATACTACGAGAGACCGCGTAGGGCAGCGCTTGCGCGGTTCACGGCACAAGCGGGTCTTCCCAGTCGACGAGGCGAGTATGAGCCCCCGAACCTCCGACGACATGCACCGTTGGCATCATCGTGGCTAACTTGCCGTGGTCATATAAGACTTTCTGTCAGACAGGTCTATCTCCGAGCGGGGAAGCACAAAACTTGAGCAGCTATGCACAGCAATACGACTACCTCGCCACCTTGTCGAACGCCGTCTAGCTGGACGGGTTCGAATGACTAACTTCTCGGAATGTGGGTCGCGCGCGCACGGCGGCACGGGATAGCGCGTCCGGTCCTTAACTTGTATTCTGGGGCACTTGCTGGAATGATCCTGGCATGCGAACTTCTGTTCAAGCACGCGAGGGGGCTTGATGTGGGGTAAGTGTAACTGTAACAGCGGTAGATCGCGCTTATGGACAGTACAGTACTATAGTCTGACAATGTCCCCCGTGACTTTCAGCACCCCTCTCCCAACAACGACGGCCAGGAGAGAACTTGTACTTACCTGCAATTGCCTGCATAACTTGAGCCTCCAGTGCACGGCGTGAAGCCGGTACTTCTTGGCGCATTGCATGTGAATATCACTCATCCGGTAATAACCCATGTCCACTGCTCTGGTCGGCTCGACCGTCGAGCAGGGGACTCATATCCGAGGCTCCTGCGACCTAATAGGCAGAGTGCGTGGTGGACAAGAGCAAGAGAGACTCGGTCGCCCGTCGCGTCTTCGCGTTTGACGATGATGTCACGCGGCACGGGCGTCTACGGCCTCGCTGGGGACGCGCCGTTTATTATGGCAGCCTGTGGCGAGCCTCCGTCTGCGTCGCCCTCAGCTCCCTCCTCCCCGTCCAAGCCGGTCTCAACGTGCAACTCTCACGTATCGCTGTTCGGGCCCTCACTTTCTGCTAGTTACGCATTCATCTGCTACGACCTGCTACCACACGAGACGCCTGCCTCCTCGCTTTACAGCCACACCAGGATCCTCTCGCATTTCTGCATCTACCGTCTGAACGGATAGGCTCCTACTCTAATAAATATACTCTTCACTACTCTCCGAGGAATATACAATGGCACAGACACAAGACAAGGCGAACGCGCCCATCAACGTCAAGCTCCTCCTTATCGGTAACTCTTCCGTCGGCAAGAGCAGCCTCCTCCTGCGTTTCTCGGACGAGCAGTGGCTGCCAGAGGACGAGTCGAATGCGACCATCGGCGTCGACTTCCGGGTGAGTGCGCGCGGAGCCTTCGGCACCACATCCTACCGCAGCCAGCCCCCGACTGACGCCCGCCCGTGCGTGCCGGGGCTCCGTAGGTGCACAAGATGGAGGTAAAGGGCAAGAAGGTCAAGCTGAGCATATGGGTGCGCCCCCCTCTCTCTCCCCGCATATCCCCACGACTCCCCGGCCTGAACGCAGAGCGCGCGCGCAGGACACGGCGGGGCAGGAGCGCTTCCGGACGATCACGTCCTCGTACTACCGCGGCGCGCAGGGCATCATCCTCGTGTACGACGTCGCGAACCGCGAGTCGTTCGAGGCGCTCCCGAAGTGGTTCTCCGAGCTCGAGACGTACGTCTCCAGCGCCGTCGTCAAGATCATCGTCGGCAACAAGGTCGACAAGGTCCGTCCACGGTCCCACCCCCGCGCGCGTTCTCCCCTGAGCTGAGCTGCCGATCGCCGATCGCTGACCGCCCGTCCCCCGGCGCAGGAATACTCCCGGCAGGTGCCCACAGCAGAAGGCCAAGCCTTCGCGGCGCGCATGAACGCGCTCTTCGTCGAGGCGTCCGCCAAGACCGCCGTCGGCGTGCAGGACGCGTTCCGGGACGTCGTCGCGCGCATCATCGACACGCCCGAGCTCTGGCAGTCCTCCTCCACCCGGCCCGGCGCAAGCCGTTCTGGCGGAGGCGGAGGCGGCAGGCGGGACTCGGGCAACGACGACATGCCGGGCAGCATCGACCTCCACCAGGAGCCGGACGAGGCGGAGGGCGGGGGTTGCTCGTGCTGAGGTCCTGGCGTGGACATGGACAGGCTGCCGGCGGGGCCCGCTATCGCTCCCGCTGTGGCATCGCTCGACCCTGGCACTTTGCATCCGACACGATTCGTTGACGACATTGATGTTATCCACGATGGAGGAGCCGGACGACTCGTATGCGTACATACGCTACGTCCTGCGTTTCTCCGCACTGTATGTCTACTTCACATATCCACTTCTTATACCCTGGACGACAGTCTCCCGTCTGCGCCTTGGATAGCTTCACATCAAACGACGGGGGCTCCCTCTCCCATGGATCCCAGTCCTACATATGTGGACATTCAGGTCGTCCGACCTCGTACCCTCACGGAACGGAGGCCAACCCACCACGCCCCAAAGCGTGCTTGGATGGCTCAGCTGGTTAGAGCGCAGGTCTCATACGTCCGTATGACCACCCCCTTGTACTGTGATAGGGACTCGCGGTGGGCAATCCTGAGGTCGTGAGTTCGATCCTCACTCCGAGCACGAGCACGAGGATGTTGACGGGGAGGGGGTGGGGGGGCGTTGTTCCACTCCTAGAACCCTTTTTTTGACCCTCGTGAGGCATCGACGACGCCAGCTTGGCCGATGTGTTCAGGGCATCTTGAGTAATGGAGTGGAGTTCATTCGGTCCTCGGTGGTCGCAACGACCAGGTGCCCCAACTCGTGAGAGGCAGACGGAGCGGCGAGCGTAGTTCATGTGGACGAACGGCCACTGAAGTGCTGGTCGTTACACGCGACGAACTAGATCTAATTGCTCTCGTTCCTCTCCATTGCAGAAAGGGAGGTTCTACCGACGTCTTCTTGATGCCATGTTCTACGCGACGACACGCGCGACCTTCCCGTCCTCACCTCATCCTAGCTTCACAGTCTTGATTGTACTAAGAGGCACGCCCAACGAGACATTAGGGACATCATGTATAGCCATAACCAGCGTGATAGTACAGAAAAGATCCATCCAAGAGCATCTATGGTACAACGATCACCTCGAACCGCGCCTCACACCCGGGTCCTGACAGCAACTGACGGACGTCGCCGCGACTCCCGCAGGCGCGAGCCGCCGCGACGCGCACGACAAGACCGGGTGAGGCATGGAAGGGAAACGTAGAGACAGAGTGACCAGGTCTAGAGAGGAGACGGACGAAGAGAGACAGGGGAGGCGCGACCTCAGAGGGGCCACGAGAGCGAGAAGACCGCCGTCTTCTCGACGACCCACGCGAGCCACGGCCAGTCGTCGTCGTCGCCGTCATCGTCATCATCGCCGTCGCCCGGTGCGGGGTCCGCGGGCGGGAGGGGCTCGCTCTCCTTCTGGCACTCGCGCGGGACGGCGTGGCCGTTGGTGCGGATGCCTCCGCCCCAGGGCGAGCCGCCCTTGAGCTTCGCGTCGCTACCAAGGCCGCGGGAGGCGAAGCCCTCCCAGAGGTCGCAGAAGTTCTCGCCGCCGGTAAGGGTCTGGTCGGCGGCAATGATCGCGTCGCGGGCGTCGAAGAAGGATGGGCGGCAGGGCTGGAGCTTCATGCCGTCGAGGACGAGCTGGACGGCGAGCGAGTTGCCGTGCTTAGGCACAAGTGGCTTCTTCTTGCCGTCGGCGGTGAACTCGGCCTTGCGGTAGAAGTCGCCTTCGGGGACAGTGCCGTCCTCGAGAGGCTTGGGAGGGAAGAGGTCGTCGACGAAGCCGTGCTTCTCAATGAGCCTCTGGGACACGACCCAGAGAATCTGTGCCCAGACCTCGCCAATGGCGTGCACCCCCCAGTAGCCTGGCTTGTTGAGGGTCTCGTAGGTGGAAGGGTTGATGGTGTTGTTCTGATGATGGGACACAATTAGCACCACGTCCCCGTCAATGCGAATTACGCTCGAACGTACCAGAGAGTAGGGATAATTCCTGATACCGTTCTCCCTGTTGGCAGCCCACGAACCCATGGCGTAGTCGGAGTAGTTCTTGTTGCTACGGATTGTAGTTGCCAAGAAGTCTGCCAACATTCCTTCAGCACTTCCGATCCAGGTGTATGAATCGAAAAACACTCACCACCCCAGCCTTCACCCATACCGCCCGCTTCGCCCCAGCCGAGACAGCCAGAGTTTGCGGGACCACCAGTGAGACGAGTGCTCAAGCCGTGACTCAGCTCATGAATGACGATACCGGCCTCCAGATCTCCATCACGGTAGGGGTTGGCGGTGTTCCAGAGGTACATCCTGCAGCGGCCGTTCTGGCCGTCGGGAGGAGTCATGAAGTTGGCGTTGTTGTAGCCGCTACCATCCTGAGCGTTGGCGATAACAGCATCGTTCTCCTGACCACCACGGCCGAAGTTGTGCTGCTGGAAGTTACCCGCAACTTCGTTGAAGCCGTACCGGTAGAACAGATCGTGGACCAAGTTCGAGGTGTAGAACAGCTGGGTGACGGTCGCGTTGATGTACTTCTTCGCCTCGTCGAGAGAATCCTGAGTGTCGGTCTTCTTCGGCGAGTACTTGAAGTCAAACGACTTGCTGGGACCTGCGTCGGGACGGTAGTTGTTCACCCAGTTGTTACGACCCTCCCAGTCCTCGTGAGCGAAGACATTGTTGCCCCAAGTAGTTGTGGTCTTCCGGATCTTCGAAGAATCTTTCGACTGCAGGTACGGGGTCTGAGGGTCGTTGGCGTAGGGAAGAGCGTGCCAGCCAAGTGGAGAAGCAAGAGCATCAAAGTTCTCCTTCTGGATGGACCGCTCACCGACCGACGGGTCGTTGATACCCCAGCCGAACACGTTGTAGGTGCCTTCAGGATCCTTCGGGACTGGGGCCATAGGCACGGGAGAATCGGAAGCCCAGTCGACGACCGAGATGATGCGGTGTGGTGCCTCAGCGGAAACCGCAGCCTCGTACCAGTTGTCCTTCATCTCAACCTCAAACTGCGGAAATGTCGTGAGCGACAGTCAGGTACACACAGACGCTTGTGCGTACCTTGAACACAAGCTGGAGGCTGGTACCGTCGCCATCTGGGATCTGGACGAACGCCTGACGGCCTTTCACGGGATTTACCGTGTCGGGGACGTTGTCGACGGTGAAGGACGGTTGCTCCGCCATGTGATGCTGGAAGGATACCTGCATCTTGGGAACAAACTTGGCAGGGTTCTCCATGATCTCCTGCTGGAGAGACTCGCTAGGCGTAGCAGCGAGAATGAACTGCAGGAGCGCACGCGAGATGTCACCAGAGGCGGCGTCCTCGGCGGCCGCGAAGTCGGGATGCTGAGGCATGAACTCGGGGGCGTCCACGAACTTGCAGTTCCATTCGTACAGGTATGCAAGTTGTTCCAGAGAACTGGTCTGCTCGCCTGTCATGCGGGCGCGATCGACCTGCCGCAGCTGACCAGAGATCTCGTCCTCGAGAGTGCGGCAGTACTCGGCATGGGGGTCAACTACGTCGTTGACGGCGTCGGCAATGGTGAACGTGCGCGAGTCCTTCGGACGGAAGAACTATAGGGCATGGATCATGAGTACAATATACCATGGGCGCACGAGACAATATCACTGACCGAGTCGCCGTAGGACAGGACGACGCCGTCCTTGACGTTGACGTTGATATCACCGTCTGCAACCTCGATACCATTGAGATACTGGCGAACGTAGACGTGGGTGACGCCAGTGGCCTCGTCGGTATACGAGTCCTTGCGGATGACGAAGTCGCTACCGGGAATATCGCGAACGAGATCCTCTACGAAGAGACGGGCCACATCCAAGGGGTCCGCAGACGCGCGCAGGAGGCTCGTGTGGTATACAGGGTTGGTATGGTAGGCCGCGTGGGGCAGGACAGGGCCGAAGCTGAGGGTCTTGCGACGTGAGACATGATGGGAGTCATGAGCGAGGGTGCCAGCCAGGCCGGCGGCAGCAAGGGTAGCGACGAACAAACGACGCATGCTGGAAGGAGAGACGGGAGCGGGTGCGGAGAGGAGGTGATGAAGATGCTCCCCGACAGAAAGAGGGGGAGGTGGTGGATGGGGAGAAGGAGACAAGGACCGCCCGCGGTCAGCTTATCTACCCCGCCCCACGCGACGCTGGCAACCCATATTTGGTCACTCAAACGCCCAAAATGGTTCCGCAGGTCGCCCTTCACATGCCCTTCACACATCGCGACGCGCAACCCCGCATACACAGACGCCCATATCTCTTCCTCCGACGGTCCCGTTATCGGCCTCTGCTCAGCCCGTGCTGCCTTCAGGGCTCCCTGCACTCTTCCCAAGCAGCATCCGCACATCCGCAGAGCTGCACGGATCGACGCAGCCTCACTCCGGGCGCCGTCCGGTGCCAGTCTAACCGCTTCCGAGTACATCCGAGCGCCCGCTACGGGGCGTGCAAACCAGGCAGCACGCCACTTTCCTGACATCCTGCGTGTATCACACGAGCCAGGGCCTCCCCGTGTCCAGCATTCGCACCCCCTCACAACCCCCTTTCGCCCCAAATACAACATGTACAGCAATCTTACTCCGTCTTGTGACCCTCTACGTAAGCTTGCGGGGAGGCTTAGTGCCGACCTGACAATAATCGTTCCGTATCTCCCTCCCTTGGCGCCATTCCCCCGTAACGGCGGGCCCTGCAGACGACGGCTTCGATAACACGATAGCATTGATTGCGCAGTAGGTCATGCCGATGGCGAACACCGCCTTGCTTATGTCGGTGAGACTGGGTTGAATATCTGCCTTACCCCCGACGGATAGTCTCCCAGATGGACCCACAGTCGTACACCTCGCTCCGAAGTTGTGGAGACAGACCTGGTGTAACTCATTATGACCCACATACCGACATATTATGCGCCGACACATGGCCTGACGCATCGCAGAGTATCGGCATCGCGTCTTAGTCATGTCGCGCCGTTCTCCGAGTCATACGCTGCTCTCTCGTATGAGCTGCTTGCTCCCCTCCATGTTGCGAATGATCAGTACTTCGTAACCATAATAAAACCATAGACCGCAGAAGTTCAGTGCTTGGATGGCTCAGTTGGTTAGAGCGCAGGTCTCATACTTTCGTATGACCACCGTCATGGTGGGTAATCCTGAGGTCGTGAGTTCGATCCTCACTCCGAGCATTCTTTTTTACCTTGTGCATGTCGGTTTTCTCCAGCCACGTCAACCATGTAAATTTCGGGGACGACGGACCAGTGTACTGCTGCTTGTTGAAGGCGCCTTTATGTGTGGCTTTGCATCTGAGGTTCCCTCTGTAGACGGACAGTAAACCGAGGCGGGAGAGTGGTGGCATCCCTCATGTTTGCTGCACATCTCTATGCAAGTCGAGGAGTCGTTCCCAGTAGAGATCGAAAAGGATTCAATTTTATACAATCCACGACCAATATCAAATACACTACTTTACATCTATGGTACACTGACACTGAGATACAACGACTGCACCGCGAACTCTACAATGGATGGTACCTACACGACCCTAAAGCTCTCACTGAACGTCCCAGTCTTGCGCCTTACGAGATCTGGGGGCTCCTCCAGTTGCCGCCGTACATCGGC